CGGTTCGAGTCCAGCCCGAGCTGAGCAGCCGCTGAGCTGCCAACAGGTAGCAGGATGGCTCAGCTAAAAACAAACAAACAAAAAAAACAAAATAAAACCAAAACAAAACAAAAAAAAACCAAAACAAAACAAAACAAAAAAAAATTGCCCTGGTACCAAACAGAGCTAGGAGTGAAAAAAATAAAAATAAAAAATTACAGTGTACTTAATATTAGTATTACATATTTTTCATTTCCCTATAAATTTATACTTGACAGAGTTTTTAATGTTTTGACAAATTTTAAAGGTCACAGAACAATCATAATTTTCCCATTGTTTATGAAGATCACTTTGCAGGTTTCAGCTTAATTATTCACTTTTACAGTCCCAAACTATCAGGCAAATTGAGTACTGCCTATACAGTGTCAGGAAATCTCATCTGAAGCATCTTTTGAAGAAGTGTCAAGATAACTTAAGGACAATGTGATGGCATATAATTTAAGGATAATGTGATTACTCACCTGTAATTCCTCAGCTGTAGAAACATCTAATCCTGTTAGATCTTGTATTCTCATATTAATTCGAGACACCACAGGGTTTTCGTAGCCAGAGAGCCAAGCACTAAGAACAAGAAGAAAATATTAGTTTTATTGATAATGCTTCAATACATGAAGTCCAATAAGTATCACTTAAAAAACCATAATATATGGGACAGTTAGCCTTTATCTAGAGGCATTTAGTTGATTTGCTTGTTTGATATGATTTTTTACTAATGAATGCTGTAATTTAAAAAGATGTTAAAAAGGGCCGGCTGAGTGGCTCAGTTGGTTAAGAGCTCGCTCAAGAGTTTGAGCTCTGAGCAACAGCAGTTCGAGTCAGCCCGAGCTGAGTCGCTGGCAATGGTGTAGGCTGCTGTGGGGCTGCAGTGGGCTGCCATAAGCTACCGTGTGTAGCCAGCAGCCAGCATGAGCGGCCTGCAGCCGGCGTGAGCTGCCAAGAGCCACCGTGAGCAGCTGTCCAATTGCCGTCAACCAATCTGCCTCACCCAGGAAGAGCACAATGATAATAATACCAACATGGGCCAGTGAAGCAACGTCCTCCACAACTAGACTGAAGAACAAAAGAAGAGTAATTTGTCTGTTCTCCTTCCCCGATTCCCTAACCCTGTACCCCTCCCCCAATTCCCCAATTNATGTCGCTTCACTGGCCCATGTTGGTATTATCATTGCGCTCTTCCCGGGAGAGGCAGTCGTTCGCCGGCCATTGGACAGCCATCGTGAGGCCATTGGACTCACGGCGGCTCACGGCAGCCCACTGCAGCTCCACTGCAGCCTATACCGCTGCCGGCGACTCAGCAGCTCGGCTCCAGGTCTAGCTGTTGTTCACCATCTTAGTGGTAGAGGGCGCAGTGTCATTGGCCCTCATGCGGGATCCGAACTGGGCCCAGTTGCTCAGAGCTGGCATACCAAGCCAACTCTTGAGTTAACCAACATGCCACTCGGCTGGCCAGGTTCATTTTTTTTTTTTTTAATAACTTCATATTTAGCTGAACTTAATCTTTAGAATTTCCAAGGTGCTAGAATGAGGCCACTTCTCTTCAGGGAGGATATGAGTTTGTTTCTGCCAGGTACAAGGGAGCACAACTAAGCTAAACAACTTTAAATTAATTTCTCCTTTTCTGGGGTAGTAAAAATTCAAATCTGAGATTCATGTGAGGGCAGGCCCATGCGTTCAAACTCCCAGAAGCAGTCCCTCACACACACCACACCCCAGCCAGAAGGGTGACAGGCCCCTCTCCTCCTTAAGGCTCCCAGCACATTATTTTCAAAGCCATTCTTTCTTTCTCTGAAGGTGTGATGCTTTTGGAGACTTGGGTTTTATGCAGGGGTATCAGGTTCAGTGGCCTACACTGTGGGGGGGCCTCTCACAGAGCTGTTAATCCTCAACACTCCACATTCCTGGAGGTACAAGCCTCCAGCCTCAGTGTTTTTTGTCCCCCTTTAACGCTCTAATTTTAGTCTCCAGGTTTTCTTTGTTCAGTTTGCCTTTGGGAATTTCCTTCACTTTCCTCCAGACTCAGCAATGCATTGAAAAGTATCAAATTCTTTTAGTGTGTTTTTTACTGCTAAAAAGGCTTTACAGAATTGCACCATGCTTCCACGAATTCCAAATAGGCTATGAATTTTTAATACTAAAGAACAGAATTAACATGTCATGCCTAAGCTTCAGCGGAAGTCCTACGTTCTCTCTTTTTTTTTTTCTTCACTTACCCGTGCAAAATCAAAATGGGGTTCATATTGTCCTCCAACTCCGTAATTTGCTACCTGGAGAGAAACAAAGCATGAATGAAAGAACTATCAAGACTACTATTCAAAAAATCTATCAGCTGTATTTTGGCCTCTGCTATATCATGGTTAGGCACTTCTAGAGAAATGAGGAGCAAAGCATTTTAAATCAATGTGAGTTCCTAAGGAACCAAGGATGAAAAACTAAAGACAGCTACTACCTGCGAGTTTAGAAACTGTTAATATTCTTTTCTTTAACAAATATTTGGGGGACACATTTTTCCCTTGTGCCTAGCTTAAACTAAAATATGAATTAGAATTTTAGAATTAGAATTTTTAGGTTTAAAATTTTCTAGAACTAGAATTTTGAAATTTCTATTATTAATTTTCACTAAATACTTTCTTCTGGAATTTAAATCAAGACATGTTTTCCAAAGCCCCAAATGCTGGCAAACTCCCAATATGCTTTAATAAAATCCTTTTCCCACATATTTTTTTCCCTGCTGAGGTTAAAAAAAGGAAAGACGTTAACACCAACTTAATTATTCCTGCTGGAGGGCTCTGACAGCTTCAGTTGGCTATGACAATGTCCCAGTGTGAAGCAGCAAAAGGAAGTAAGAAAAATATTTGGACTGAGTTCAAGTTCCAGCTTTCTCAGTTACAATATATGTAACTTTAGATACAATCTCAGTTTTCTTATTTGGAAAACGACACCTTCCTTCCACCCCAATATGATAAAATGCTGACAAGATGAAAGGAGAATGTAATTTAAAGAGCATTGCTGATGAAATTAAATGAGAACATAAAAAAGTGTTGCCTACAAGCAAAGTCCAATTCCTATGTAAATTACTATTACTCTGGATATTTTACTTCTTTTGTTATAGACACCTTGCGTTGGATCAACCTATTAAGTAGAAATATATTATTGTAAGTGGCCTGAAAGAGCCTGTGAAGGTTAGGCAGGTGAGAATAAATGCAGATTAGGGAAGAAAAAGAAACATAAAAGAGTTTCTAATCATCAAATGACTACCAAGGAAGTTGTAGATTACCAATGGAATAAATGACAACTTAATTAAATAAATTTAAATACAGGCAGTTCTGCTTTTCACAGTTCCAAAATGCACAAATCTCAGATACCATGGTTTAGCTAGCCATGAACACCAGACCCCAACAACACAATTGAAATTTCAGTTACCATGGTATATTATTTGTGAGTAACTGTATAAAGTATAAATGTTGCTGCTAGCTCTTCAGTCCACAAATTACTATGTAAATAACAGCTGCACATCATGATCACACCAATCACATCACTTCTTTCAAGTGATTTCAAGTCTCTCAAGTGATTGGTTTCCGCACATCGATTATTCAGTTCATGTACAGACAGCAAAGCATGTAGTTGTGTTACCTTCTTATCTCCCAGTGAAAACCCACGTGATATTTTACAAAAATGGATAATTGGAAAAGGAAATTGACCAACAAAGATAAAGTACTAGAGAAATAGAAAGTGATAAAGCTTTAGGTGAAATTCAAATCCAACTTAATTGGAGGTATAGAAGAAACAGCTCCAGGGGAACGCTTCCATTTTTGCTGTTTAAAAAACTCTAGCCTTGCAGCCAGAGAAACTGGTGAAGGCAAATTTATTAACAAGGAAAGCGATTGTGATGAAAAGGATGAAAATGTCCTGGAGGAAGTGATGCTCAAAAAATCTTCACAATAAAAGATCCCTCAGATATATTTAATAACACTGAAAGCACCAAGGATAAAATGTTGAAAGCTGATCCAAATGCAGAAATATGACAATTTGCAAAGAAAGATGAAAGATGCTCACTAGGTGCCATAAGTTTCACAATAATAAGAAGGAAAGTAATGTTTAAACTGTTTTTGGTAAGTATTTACAAAGAAATGAAACACTTCAGTTCTCAATATTTCTAACATTTTAAATTACCAAGACAATTGCCAAGACAAAAAATCAAAAGCTAGGAATGATTGGGGCCAGCTGAGTGGCTCGTTGGTTAAAAGTTGGCTTGGGAGCATGAGCTCTGAGCAGCAGGACCGCCGGTTCAGATCCCACATGGGCCAGTGATGCTGCGCCCCCTACAGCTAAGATGGTGAACAACAGCTCGACCTGGAGCTGGGCTGCCATGAGGCGACGGCGTAGGCTGCA